ACCACTAGCCAGATTGATTAAAAATAAAAGAGAGAACAACCAAATAGATGCAATAAAAAATGATAAAGGGGAAATCACCACAGATTCCACAGAAATTCAAACCATCATCAGAGAATATTACAAACAACTCTATGCACATAAACTAGTAAACCTGGAAGAAATGGATAAATTCCTGGACTCCTGTGTCCTCCCAAGCCTAAACCAGGAGGAAGCTGAAACTATGAATAGACCAATAACAAGGTCTGAAGTTGAGGCAGCAATTAAGAGCCTACCTCACAAAAAAAGCCCAGGTCCAGATGGGTTCACAGCCTAATTCTACCAGACACACAAGGAGGAGCTGGTACCATTCCTTCTAAAACTATTTCAAACAATCCAAAAAGAGGGAATCCTTCCCAAATCATTTTATGAGACCAACATCATCCTGATACCAAAACCCGGCAGAGACCCAACGAGAAAAGAAAACTTCAGGCCAATATCCATGATGAACATAGATGCAAAAATCTTCAATAAAATATTGGCAAGCCGATTGCAACAGCAAATCAAAAAACTTATTCATCATGATCAAGTAGGATTCATCCCAGGGATGCAAGGCTGGTTCAACATACGCAAGTCTATCAACGTAATTCACCACATAAACAGAACCAAAAACAAAAACCACATGATTATCTCAATTGACGCAGAGAAGGCATTTGACAAAATTCAACAGCCCTTTATGCTAAAAACCCTCAATAAACTCGGTATCGATGGAACGTATCTCAAAGTAATAAAAGCTATTTATGACAAACCAACAGCCAATATCATACTGAATGGGCAAAAACTGGAAGCATTCCCTTTGAAATCTGGCACTAGACAAGGATGCCCTCTCTCACCACTCCTATTCAATATAGTACTGGAAGTTCTAGCCAGAGCAATCAGGCAAGAAAAAGAAATAAAGGGTATTCAAATAGGAAAGGTGGAAGCCAAATTGTCTCTATTTGCAGACGACATGATAGTATACCTAGAAGACCCCATCGCCTCAGCCCAAAAACTCCTGAAACTGATAAACAACTTCAGCAAAGTCTCAGGATATAAAATCAATGTGCAAAAATCACAAGCATTCGTCTACACCAATAACAGACGTAAAGAAAGCCAAATCAAGAGCGAACTGCCATTCGCAATTGCTACAAAAAGAATAAAATACCTTGGAATACAACTCACAAGGAACGTAAGGGACCTCTTCAAGGAGAACTACAAACCACTGCTCAACGAAATCAGAGAGGACACAAACAGATGGAGAAACATTCCATGTTCATGGTTAGGAAGAATTAATATCGTGAAAATGGCTATACTGCCCAAAGTAATTTACAGAATCAACGCTATCCCCATCAAGCTACCATTGACTTTCTTCACAGAACTGGAAAAAACCACCATGAACTTCATATGGAACCAAAAGGGAGCCCGCATAGCCAAGTCAATTCTAAGCAAAAGGAACACAGCGGGGGGCATCACACTACCGGATTTCAAACTATACTACAAGGCTACAGTAATCAAAACAGCATGGTACTGGTACCAAAACAGAGATATAGACCAATGGAACAAAACAGAGGCACCGGAGGCAACACAACATACATACAACTATACAATCTTTGATAAACCTGACAAAAACAAGCAATGGGGCAAGGATTCCATGTTTAACAAATGGTGTTGGGAAAACTGGCTAGCCATGTGCAGAAAGCAGAAACTGGACCCCTTCCTGACACCTTACACTAAAATTAACTCCAGATGGATTAAAGACTTAAACATAAGACCTGGCACCATAAAAACCCTAGAAGGAAATCTAGGCAAAACTATCCAGGACATAGGAGTAGGCAAGGACTTCATGAACAAAACACCAAAAGCATTGGCAACAAAAGCCAAAATAGACAAATGGGACCTAATGAAACTCCACAGCTTCTGCACGGCAAAAGAAACAGTCACTAGAGTGGATCGGCAACCAACAGAATGGGAAAAAATTTTCGCAGTCTACCCATCTGACAAAGGGCTGATATCCAGAATTTACAAACAACTCAAGCAGATTTACAGGAAAAAAACAAACAAGCCCATTCAAAAGTGGGCAAAGGATATGAACAGATACTTTACGAAAGAAGACATATATGAGGCCAACAATCATATGAAAAAATGCTCATCGTCACTGGTCATCAGAGAGATGCAAATCAAAACCACATTGAGATACCATCTCACGCCAGTTAGAATGGCGATCATTAAAAAATCTGGAGACAACAGATGCTGGAGAGGATGTGGAGAAAAAGGAACACTTTTACACTGTTGGTGGGAGTGTAAATTAGTTCAACCATTGTGGAAGACAGTGTGGCGATTCCTCAAGGCCTTAGAAATAGAAATTCCATTTGACCCAGCAATCCCATTACTGGGTATATATCCAAAAGACTATAAATCGTTCTACTATAAGGACACATGTACACGAATGTTCATTGCAGCACTGTTTACAATAGCAAAGACCTGGAATCAACCCAAATGCCCATTGATAATAGACTGGATTGGAAAAATGTGGCACATATACACCATGGAATATTATGCAGCAATCAGAAATGATGAGTTCGTGTCGTTTGTAGGGACATGGATGAATCTGGAAAACATCATCCTCAGCAAACTGACACAAGAACAGAAAATGAAACACCGCATATTCTCACTCATAGGTGGGTGATGAAAAATGAGAACACATGGACACAGAAAGGGGAGTACTAAACACTGGGGTCTATTGGGGGGAAAAGGGGAGGGCCAGTGGGAGGGGGAGGTGGGGAGGGATAGCCTGGGAGAAATGCCAATGTGGGTGAAGGGGAGAAGAAAAGCAAAGCACACTGCCATGTGTGTACCTACGCAACTGTCTTGCATGCTCTGCTCATGTACCCCAAAACCTATAATCCAATAAAAAATTAAAAAAAAATGCACTTCATAAATGCAGGGAAAATACAAACTTGGACTCTTACCCCATCCCACTCCAGAAACGTTACTAAACATGGATAGTAAATCCAGTAGAAAACATAAGATATTAGTGTTACAGCTTTAGAATAGGCCAAGGTATTTTTGATTAGGATAAAAAGGCACTAATGATAAAGAATACATTGTTTAATTAGACATAACTAAATGTAAAACTTGTATTCCTCAAAAGACAGTCTTAGGAGTGTAAAAAAGCAAAGCATATCTGTAGATTACATATTATATAATATATAGTATAAGTTATATATAAAAATATACATTAATCATATATATGTATATATCTGACCAAAAAAATGAGTGAAATCCAGAATATAACCAGAACTACAAATCAATTTTAAAAAACAAACATTGCAATAAAATGTGCAGAAAACAGCTGAGTACTCATTCATAAGAGTCATACTCAAATATGACTTTAATAATCACATAAAATATACCCAGGCTATGACTGTACTCCATTCCATGAAAATTTATTTGAGATGAATGGGAGATCTAAAAGACAGCTTAGAATATTATCATCGTGGCATTGGGCGAGGCAAAGATTATTCTTAAAATAATAGGAAGCACCAGCCCTAAACAAGAAACTGATTAATAAAATTAAGAGAATCTGTTCATCTAAAACACAATATTGAGATAGTGTAAAAGCAAAACAGATTTGTAGAAGATACTAAAATTGTGTGTGTATTTTAATACATGTACATATATGCCTGTGTGTATGTGTCTAACTGAAACCCAGAACTTATATGTAAACCATGAATCCATTTTTAAAATACAAGTATCTCGATAAAATTTGGAGGAAAAGAGCTGAAAAGGGATTTCGTAAAAGACATATTTAAATGGCGAATAAGCACATTTAAAATGTGCTCTAAAAATAATCAATAAATAGCTGGGCACAGTGGCTCATACCTATAATCCCGTCACCTTGGGAGGCTGATGCAGGCAGAGGCCACTTGAGCCCAAGGGTTCGAGACCAGCCTGGGCAACTTGGCGAAACGCCGTCTCTACCAAAAAATACAAAGATTAGCCAGAATTGGCGGCATGCACTTATAGTCCCAGCTACTCGGGAGGCTGAGGCATGAGAATCGATCAAGCCTGGGAGGTCGAGGTGGCAGTGAGCCGAGATGGTGCCACTGCACTGCAGCCTGGGTAACAGAGCAAGACCTCGTCTCAAAAAACAATCAAAACTCAATAAATAAACCCTTAAAAAAAAAACAGGTCCTCAATCTCATTAATCAGCCCCAAACTGCAAATGCAGACATAAGGAGAGATCACTGCACACCCATCAGAGTGGCTGAAATGAAAGACTAATTGCACACCCAGTGTGTGCATCTGGAACCTTCAAACATTTCTGGAAGGAAATGTTTCCTAGACTGACACCCGATGGGTACGGCTGAAAGGTCAGATAGTTCCCGGGGAAACAGCTCCTTCACGACTGAGAAGCAACGGAGGAAAAGCACCCCAATCCGGGGCCAGATAGAGCTCCCAAGGTCAGGTGGCCTCCCTCATGGCTGACACAGAGCTCTGAGAGTCCCACCATAGGCTTAGAGAATCCAAGAAACAGCACCCCACTCCTTCGCAGCACTGGGAGACAGCACCCACAGATAATAATTTAAAAACCCAGCACCAAGAGAAAGCATCCGATAGGCGTCCCAATCGGGGATAAACAGATCCAAAGAAAAGCCAACACATCCTAGCTGAGAGTGAGCAACATCCAAGGCCAAATGTGACCCACGGCTGACATCAGCACCCAGCGAAGAGTCTCTCGCGGGCTGAGATAAACCCCGCGACAGAGAGTGAACCCACAGGGCAGTGATCATGTGTCCGCAGGACAGCCACCCTCACCCCAGCCCCGAACACAGACAGAGTCCCTAAGGCAGAGTCTCCCCGCAGGGTCGTGGCCAAGCGGGGAAGAAACACCGCCGCACCCGAAGGTGACACAGGCGACCAATGTAGGGTCCCCACCCCTGGGTTCAGTCATTGCACAGGAAAAGTTCGTCGCATCACTAAGAGGGAGTCCCCAAGAAAAGCTCCCCAGCCCCACAACATAACCGAGACGGGGTGTCCAAGGAAAAGACTCCCCGACAGCTGACACACGCGCCCATGGTAGTGTCCACACAGCGAAGCCGTACCACTCACCGGACAAAGAACACCCCAGAAAAGAAGCTTTCCTAGGAAAAAGGACACATTCTGGGTAGAAATTAAAGCATCCAGGGAAAAACTGCGCACTTACGTAGTCCTGAAGTCTTGACCTTGCCAGAGGAGCTGCGGCTGCACTTCCCAAAATGGCAGAGAAGTTGTGGCGCCTCCCCACTGCTGGAACTTTCTAGAAACTTGCTCTCTGGGAGTTATGGGAAGTGTGCCCCGGATGCCTGTGAGTGATGCTCATTGGGAGGCGTCCCACCAGAAGCACCAATCTGGTAAGGCTCAAGGGAGGCAGAAGGCAGGGAAGCTGCCGGCCACCGCGGGCCCCGCCCCAGCCGAACACTGGGAGCCTGTTGGGGGGGCCAGAGTCCCGAAGTGAAGCCTCGTGCACTGCGAGACCGCCGGCGCCAACCGGAAGAACCGGGAAGCGTGGCGTCCCCGCCCTTCGCTAACTCTAACCCTCTTTACGCGCAGCCTTCGGTATCGGCAGTACGGCGGACATAGGCAGAGGAACGCGGAACCTCACACAGCGGAATCAAAGGGTGAATTTGGAGCTGACGGGCAAAAACATCTTATAGTATGTTTGTCTGGCTTTGATATCAGGGTAATATTGGCCTCATAGAATGAAGTAGTGTTCCTTCCTCTTTTATTCTTTTGAAATCCTTTGCTAAGTATTGGTATTACTTCTTCCTTAAATGTTTGATAGAATTTACATGCGAAACCACCTCGGCTTGCCTTCCATTTGTGGGGAGATTTAAAATTACTAATTAAATACCTTTCCATGCTATAGTCCTATTGCAAATTTCTATTTCTTTTGAGTCACTAATTTGTTCTCTAGGAATTTCTCTGTATCACCTACGTTGTTTAATTTGTTGGCACAAAGGTGTTCATAATGTATGTCTTTAAATTTCTCGCGTTCTTTGCGTGTGTGTGCATGTGAGACGGTGTCTCGATCTTTTGCTGAAGATGGAGTGAGGTGGCGCGATCTGGGCTCATTACTTCTTCTGACTTTCTGGTTCAAGCACTTCTTCTGTCTCGGTCTCCTGGGTAGCTGGGGTTACAGGTGGCATCATATCGCCCGGCTAATTTTTTGTGTTTTAGTAGAGTCAGGGTTTCACCATGTTGGCCAGGCTGGTCTCAAACTCCTGACCTCAGGTGATCCGATGGTCTCGGCGTCCCAAAGTGCTGGGATTACGGGAGTGAGCCACCGCGCCTGGCCCCTTTTAATTTCTGTAAGGTCAGTATTCATAACACCCTTTTCATTCTTGATTTTGGTAATCTGTGTAGTCCTTTCTTTTATTCTTGGTCAGTCAAGCTAAAAGATAAGTTAGGTTTTTTTTTTCTCAACTATTCTGTGAACCAATATTTTATTTCATTGATTTTTATTTCACTGATTTTCTTTAATTTTCATCATTCCCCTCTTTCTGCTTGCTAGTATTAAATACATCAGTTTAAAACTTCAGGAATAACAAATGGTTTGTTTCATAAAGGAGGATTTGAAACCATAAACATATAGAAATGCTTATGATATTGCCAAGTAGTAGTCATTTTCGACCAGTTAACCAGAAGGAAATTTGGTATGCTGAAACCAGACAAGTTTTTTGTACCAGGTTTTATTAATTTTGAAAATATAAATCTAGTTTGTAAGAAGGTGTTTTTTGCATGAGAAGTTTGTTTTTTTAATATTTAGACTTCTCATTTTCACTTAATCCCCCAAATTTATTTTTTTAAAGCTTCGAAGCATGTATCAACCAGCACATTCACTATCCTCTTTGTGCTTTATCTCTGATAATCCTTATAAGAGCACCATGAGTTAGGTACTGTTTTATGCCCATTTTACGGAAATAGAATCTTAGGGTGCACATTTAAGTAGCTCTTTCAGGTTTAACCAGTTGGAAAAGTGACAAAATCTAGGTATGTCAGATTCCAGAGATTGCACACACAAATACTATATCACACTGCTTACTGCTGTGAGTTTGGCAGAGAATTCCTTGTTTATATGGAAATCACAAAACTGATAATATCCAGGATAATTGGCAGCAGTTTATAAACCCTCTTTACCCCTAATTTGGTGATTTTGTGTGGGGTCACCTGTCCACTAATCTAATCGGATCTTAGGCTGGTCACACTTCTGAATTTGCACACCAAGTTTGTGTGTAAGGGTACTTCTCCAGGGGAAAATATCTGTAGATTTCATCAAATTTTCCAAAGAGGGTTAGGCCCGCTACTCAGCGTTCCCTGGAAGGTAAGAGAATGCCATGTAGCCTACACCCTTCTCCACCTGAACAACTTCATACAGTTGGCTATGGCTTTACAAATGATGGGCAGGTAGGACAACTAGGAAAGTGTATGTGCTCATTAATACATACTTCTCCTTTAAGCCTGAAAAGATGAACTTGTGGAATTACAAAAATTGGCATTCTAAATATTTAATTATTAATATTTAGAATTATAGATCTTTTAGTCGGGATGGTGGCATAAGGAAGGTCAGTCTTTTCTCAAACTAAGCTGGAGGCATAAGGGATCTGTTTAACCTAGTGGTGTGAACCTACAGGAAGTCGTGATGGTAGCGTGAGTCATCACTTAGATAAAGTGAGATTTATAGATCACAGAACATGATATAGATTCTAGATATGAGATTCTAAACTCTGTTTGCTACCAAGGCACCCATTGCTAAAACAGTCTGTGATCATGTGCTCTCAGGAGGATCATATATTTCAGCTGTATAGTGCCAATTTATGTGCCAGTTATGTTCCAGGTATAAATGAAAGTGTTCTAGTAACACACAGAGATAATGATCAGACATATCTGCAGATGCCGGTTTCTCCACTTCAAACGAGTCAGCCAACTCCACCTGGAAAACGCCACACTGTTGGCTCTGTGCTTACAAATGATGGCCAGGTAAGATAACTTTCTATTTCTGCCCTAATTGTGACATTCTTAGTATAAGTATTTTCTCAGTGGAAAGATGAATATAAACTATATGTGTTAATTCTCTTGATTTAAAAGCTAAGAATATGACACAGGAATTCTCATGTGAACATAAAATGGGAACTTTTTGGTCCAAGAGTAGATTCATTGGACTAGGAGCTGATGTTTTTAATTATCACATTTAATGCTCATAATTGTTCTGCAGATGTGTATTACTATCTCGCCTTTAATGAGAAATCAAGGCTGACAGCGGTCAAATGGCTTGCCCCACGTGACACATGATAGGAGATAGAGCCAGGGTTCGAACGCATATCTTTCTGACTCCAGAGTCTATATTCTTTCCCACTCCTCAATTAATTAGACTCTTCCCTAATTTTCCGTGCCTTTATCTTCGCTTTCTTAAGGAAAGAGATAAGAATCACACCTCACTCATAGGGATTGGCCAAGGATTGACTTAATACATGCAAAGCATTTAGAACAGTACCTGGAGGGTAGTAAATGTTCAGTAAAAATGTCTTCACACATTCTCAGCTCCTCTTTTATAGGATGTGAAAATGCTTTGGAAAATTTTAAAATCAAAATTATATATTATATACGTTCTATATATTACATGATATATATATTATACGTATTTCATTAAATATATGCTGATACTCTTTCCTATTTAATGCAGGAGCATATTCGTTATTACTTCACCTATTATTTTAAGTTCTGGGGTACATGTGCAGGATATGGAGGTTTGTTACATAGGTAAATGTGTGGCACAGTGGTTTGCTGCACCTGTCAATCAATCACCTTGGTATTAAGCCCAGCATCCATTAGCTATTCTTCCTGATGTACTCTCTCCCCCCAGCCCTCCCCCAGAAAGACCCAGCGTGTGTTGCCCTACCTGATGTGTCTGTGTGTTCTCATCATTCAGCTCCCACTTAAAAGTGAGAACACGCACTGTTTGGTTTTCTTTCTCTGCATTAGTTTGTTGAGGATAATGGCTTCCAGCTCCGTCAATGTTTCTGCAAAGGACATGATCTCATTCCTTTTGATGGCTGCATAGTGGTCCATGGTGTATATGTACTACATTTTCTTGATCCAGTCTATCATTGATGGCCATTTGGGTTGATTCCACATCTTTGCTATTGTGAATAGTGCTGCAGTGAATATACGTGTGCATATATCTTTTTTTTTTTTAGCAATTGTGAATGGGAGTTCATTCATGATTTGGCTCTCTGCTTGCCTGTTTTTGGTATATAGGGATGCTAGCAATTTTTGCGCATGGATTTTATATCATGAGAGTTTGCTGAAGTTGCTTATCCTCTTCAGAAACTTTTGGACTGAGATGATGGTATTTTCTATATATGGGGCCATGTCATCTGCAACGAAAGATAACTTCATGTCCTCTTTCCCTATTTGAATACCCTTTATTTCTTTGTCTTGCCTGATTGCCCTGGCCAGAACGTCTGATACTATGTTGGATAGGACTGGTGAGGGAGGGCATCCTTGTCTCGTGCAAGTTTCAAGAGGAATGCTTCCAGCTTTTTCCCATTCGATATGCTATTGGCTGTGAGTTTGTCATATATGGCTCTTACTGTTTGGAGATGTGTTCATTCAATACCTGGTTTTTTGAGAGCTTTTTTTATTTTTTGAGACGGAGTTTCGCTCTTGTTACCCAGGTTGGAGTGCAATGGCGCGATCTCGGCTCACCGCAACCTCCGCCTCCTGGGTTCAGGCAATTCTCCTGCCTCAGCCTCCCGAGTAGTTGGGATTACAGGCAGGCGCCACCATGCCCAGCTAATTTTTTGTATTTTTAGTAGAGACGGGGTTTCACCATTTTGAGCAGGATGGTCTCCATCTCTTAACCTCGTGATCCAACCGCCTCGGCCTCCCAAAGTGCTGGGATTACAGGCTTGAGCCACTGCGCCCGGCCCGAGAGCTTTTAATATAAGGGGGTGTTGAATTTTATCAAAGGCCTTTTCTGTATCCATTGAGATAATCATGCGGTTTTTGCTTTAGTTCTATTTATGTGATGAATTACATTTATTGATTTACCTATTCTGAACTGACCTTGAGTCCTGGCAATGAAGCCAACTTGATCATGGTAGATAAGTTTTTTGATGTGCTGCTCGATTCAGTTGGCCAGTATTTTATTAAGGATATTTGCCGTCATTGCTCATCAGGAACACCAGCCTGAAGTGTTTGTTGTTGCTGTATCGCTGCCAGATTTTGGTATCCAGACGATGCTGGTCTCCTAAAATGTAGTAGGAGTCCCTCCTTTTCAATTTTTTGATATAGTTTCAGTAGAAATAGTGCCAAATAGTACATTCTAAGTAGGCAGGAGCATATTCTCGGGTTATCTTTTGATGGCAGGACCTTTTAGTTAACCTAGTATATCCTTCAATTTCATGTTTTATTTACCACCAATATTTCAAAGCACCTCCTGCCCCTGCCTGGCTCCAAAATGAACATATTTGAGTCTCCATAAGGTTGGAGGTGGGAAAATTTACCTTTTTCATCGATGTTAACTTTCACTGTCTACATATATTATCGAATAAAGTGTTAATCAGTATTTGTCAATAAGTAACGTTCAACAACTAAAAAATAAAAACGGAATTTGCTTTTTTTTGTCCCCTAACAAGGGCTGAGAGACAATTATGTGTACTACATTAGAGAGATAAGCATGTTTCTTGTCTTGGTTGATGAAAGCCACTCATTCCCCAAGCACTCTGATTAATCATGACTGTACCATGTTTGACTTTGGATAACACCTTGTATTTTGCCTTCGCTTGTTTCACTGAAACTACATTATAGTTGGCTTGCCTCTTCTGGGAGCATCGTGTGTGATGATGAATCTTTGACCTTTGGCTAAACTTAATGATATAAATGCATGGCTGTGCATGCATATGAAGACTGTGACTTTGCAATGGTTGTATTTGTCTTTAATGGAATATGTTCACTGATGTTTTTCAGCAAATGAGGAGTGACAAAGTAAATCAGGCTGCAAGAAGGCATCGAAGGAAAAGGAGTCGTTCCAGAAAATCCAAGAGACGCTATTATTCTACGACAAGGCAGGGTACGTCCCTGTGGTTACACCAACAGGAAGCTGAGGGGGAATCCAATCTTTGGGCTTCAATCGTGTCAAAGGACATTTGTGGCCTTGTCATTGAAGGATGAACAGATATGAGCACGTTTGCAAGTGGAAGGGCAAGGTTCTAATTAGGTGCAACAATTTGCAGTTACTGCAAGCGTGAGATGAATAAAGCAGGTTCCTGAGGCAGAAGGAGGTGGTGGGCACAACAAGAGGACAGGTCTGCTCACTTTCCGCCTGTCCACACACTCCTCTCTAACCCAGTGCAGTATGGCTTCTTCTTAGTCTACTCCAATGAAAATAGTGCCATCAAGGTCGCCATGTTTGTGGCACTTTGACATCAATTCCTCAACAGCATGTGACACAGTTGATTACGCCCTCCTGCACGGAAAACTTCTTGGGTCCCCAGACACCTGGATTTCTTACTCTGTTACTAAGGGCTCATTTTCCTTCTCCTTTTTTGTTTTTCTCCTCTTGCTTCCCACCTCTAAATATTTCAGCGCACCAAAACTTGATCCTAGCCTCTCTTCTCTTCAATATCCTATCTCCGTAGGTGATGTCATGCTGTCTTAGAATTTTAAATGATTCACACTTCAAGAACTGTCACCATTAAACTTCTAGGCTACGACTTGCTCCTGAAATCCAAACTCATAAACAACTACACGTGTTGTATCTCTATAGGGTGTCTAATAGGCATCTACATTTCAACCAGCTCTGCAAGTTCAAATTTCTGACCTCCCTCTCTCCAAAAATACTTTACTGCAGCCTTCACTGTTTCAGATTAAAGACACTGTCCATTAGGTGAAACATCCACAAAGGTGTAACAAGCAGCTGATCACAGGTATGGGGGATTCAGAAGTCCTGGTTTTAGAGTTTTCAGCTGTCCGCGGTACAAATAATCCCACCATGGCCTAGTTCAAGCTGTCGACATAAGGTCACTGAACCAGAATCAGGAAGAGTTGGCAGCATTCCGCTCCCGTAGTCGGTTGCCTAACCCCTCCTGCACATCCCTGGTATACTTTTACTTAGTAGGTCACCCCAAAATACTTAAAGTCACTTATGATTTCTCTTATGATTCTTTTATTATTCTCTCATTTCCAATCTCTTATCAGTTCATCAGTCAATGCCCAGTATAAACCCTGCATCCCACCATTTCCCTCTATCCCTCCAGTGCACACTGCCGTGATCGCTGACCAAGGTAGTACAACATCTTCTTAGCTCTGTTTCTAATCTCCCTCATCTGTAGCATACTCTCTAACCCTGTGGCTAGAAAATTATGTCAGCATGCCATTTCCCTCCTAAAACCCCATCCTCAACTCTCCCTCTCCTAACAAGGGTCCCATCCATTTCCTCCTGGCTCTCTTTGCCTCTGTCTAACACCCTGTAGTGCCCGGTCCATTCCCCCTCCAGCTCCTACCCTTGGCCTCACCGCAGTCTGGAACTCTCCCTCTGCCTCTGCACAGGAGGCTCTGCTTTTTCCTCTAAGCCCTGTCCAATGGCACTTCTTCAGATGGCTCTGCCCAAGGAGCCAGAGCCCCTGAGGCTCCCTCTGCTGCTGTCTCCCTCAGGCCTGTGGACTACTTCCCAGACACCAGCCCAATGCTGCTTGTTTCATTTCCTCATTGTGTATGTCCTGTCTGACTGCCCCGTAGTGATATGAGTCCCACAAAGGCAGGGACCGTTGCTCTCTGTCCTCTTTACTGCTGATCCCCAGCTCCTGGCATGCCGCCTGCCACAGACAATGAATAAATGAAAGAGGTGACAGACCTGGAGTAAAAAGAATGTTACTTTTCCAGACAAAAGGGGAGGATCTGTAGAATCACGTAAAAACTAGGGATGTGTGATGATGGAGTGGAGATAAGAGTGTTCAACTCCAATAGTCACCTCTATTTTCTCAGAATATTTGAGGTAGAAAGGAGGCAATTTAACAAGGCCTCACTTAGTCTGGCTTTCCTGCTGCGCACAGCATGGCATGTATAGGTGAACTATAAAAGCGATATCAAGTGAGAATTGTAAAGGGCAGCAGCAGGATGATACAATATGATGAGTGCAAGAAATCTGTGAATATTTATTCTACTGTCGTACTTACTACATACCATCGTTATGCCAAGAGATACATACGTAGTTTTATTGTGTAATCTGACCTGATACATGCTTCCATGTGGTAAGTCCTTCTGTTTCGTGAAATGAATAATTCCATAGAAACTGATTCAAACATAGCTGTCTCTCCGGGATGATGGGACAAAACACACCTATCTTGTAACTGAGCCTCTTCATTTGGTTTCCAGATGCTAGCGTCACTCACAATGTCTGTGAAGAAAAGGTTAAAAATGGCCAACCAACACCCGATAATGTCTTTCCAACTGTTCCATCAGCGCTTATTAATATGACAGCAGCTGGTATTTCATCCCTGGGTTTCGGCGATCAGTGTAAGTTTGTTCACTTGTTATACTGTCCTATTTGGTTTCCATATACATGCATGGCGTCATGATGGAAGATGGTAATTTTGTTGTATTATCTTTTCTGGCCTCAATTTTAGGGTTCTGAGATTGCTAACTGGTATGTCCTCCTCCTTTATGAGATAATTTCCTAGAAACTGAGCATCTGAGGTGTATGCCTGTGCGGTTGACATAATGCACATAACACACAGCTCAACCACTTCATTTGGTTTCCAGATGCTGCGGTGACTCATAACGTCCATGAAGAGAAGATGAATAACGGCCAGCCAGCACCTCATACCGTCTTTTCAACTGCTCCACCAGGTCTTGGTAATTTGGCAGCCCCTAGAATTTCATCCACGAGGACCAGAGATCTGTGTATCTCTGCTTCTTTATTGTACTATCCTACCTGATTTCCATAAGCAGGCATATTTTCATGAACGGTAGAAGGTGGTTTTGTTGCATATTCTTTCCTAGCCTCCATTTGGGGGATATCAGATGGCCACCTGGCATATTCTCTCCTGATTTTTAGATAATTTTCTAGAAACTGAGCATCAGAGGGATATTCCTGTGGGGTTGACATAATGCACTTACGTCAGAGCTCAACCTCATTCACTTGGTTTCCACCTACTACCGTCAATCACAATATCCATGAAGAAAGGATGGAAAATGGTTAACTGCAACCAGATAGTGTCTTGTCAAATGTTCTGTCACAGCTTATTTATATGCCAGGAGCTGGTATTCTAGTGATGAGTACCAGAGATGTGTGTCTGTTTGTTTATTAGATGTAGTATCCTATTAGGATTCCATATGCATGGGTAATGTCATGAAGAGAAGAAGGTGGTTTTGGGGAATTATCTTTCCCGACCTCAATTTGATGGAACTCGAATCATTATATGATGTCTGCTCCTGCTTTATCAGATAATTTCCTAGAAAGTGAAGATCAGAGGGATATACCAGTGAGGTTGTCATAATGCACTTACCTCACAGCTCAACCTCTTTGTTTGGTTTTCAGATGCTACTGTCACTCAATATGTCCATGAACAGAAGATGGAAAATGGCCAACCCCAAACTGATAAAGTCTTGTCAACTGTTCCACTATGCCTTGGTCATATGACTGCAGCTGGTATTCCATCCATGAGTATCAGGGATCTGTGTATGTCTTTTAATTAGTAGTACTGAATAGTTGGTTTCCCTAACATGCATATGTTCATGAATGGTAGAAGTCGGATTTGTTGTATTTTCTTTCCTACTCTCAATTTGAGGGGTCTCAGATGGCCGCATATCTTCCTTCCTTCCTTCCTTCCTTCCTTCCTTCCTTCCTTCCTTCCTTCCTTCCTTCCTTCCTTCCTTCCTTCCTCTCATTATCTCCCTTTATTTATTTCTCTCTCTCTCTCTCTTTTTTTTTCTTTCAAAACTGATTCTCACTCTCTCGCCCAGGCTGGAGCGCAGTGATGCTATCTCGGTCGCTGCAATCTCCACCTCCCGGGTTCAAGTGATTCTCCTGCCTCAGCCTCCTGAGTAGCTGGGATAACAGGCATGCACCACCACGCCCAGCTAATATTTGCATTTTTGGTAGAGACAGGGTTTCACCGTGTCGGCCAGGATGGTCTTGATCTCTTGACCTCGAGATCCACCTGCTTCAGCCTTCCAAAGTGCTGGGATTACAGACGTGAGCCACCGTGCCCAGCCATATCCTACCCTGTTTCTTATATAATTTCGTAGAAACTGAGCATCAGAGGGATACACCTGTGGGACTGACATAATGCATTTACATCACAGCTCAACCTTTCCCTTTGGTTTCCAGATTCTACTGTTACTCAGAATGTCTGTGAAGAGAAGATAAAAAATGAACAAATGGCACCTGATAGATTCTTGTCAACCGTTATAGAAGGGCTTATAAATTTCGCAGGGGCTGGTATTCCACCCCTGAGTACTGGGGATCAGCGTATGTTTGTTTACTAGTTATACTGTCCTAGTGGGTTTCCGTATGCATGCAGTGACATGCAGGGAAGACGGTGGTTTTGTTTTATTATTGTTTCTGGTCTGAATTCCTGGGGTCTCATTTTCCACCTGAATATGTCCTGCTTTATGGGTTAATTTCATAGAAACTGACCACCAGAGGGATATACCCTGTGGGGTTGACATAATGCACTTTCCTCAGAGCTTGAACTCTTCATTTGGTTTCCAGATGCTACCGTCACTCACAATATCAATGAAGAGAGAATGAAAAATGGGCAGCCCCAACCTGGTAACGTCTTGTCAACTGATTCCACAGGGCTTTGTAATATGGTAGCAACTGCTATTCCAGCCATGAGTCCCAGAGATCGCTATATGTCCGCTTATAAGTTGTACTGTCCTACTTGCTTTTCATATGCATGCATAGTGCCTTCTGAAGGGAAGCAGGTGGTTTTGTTGTATTATATTTTCTGAACTAAATCTGAGGGGCCCCAGATATATACACCACCTTATATATCCTCCTGCTTTATGAAATAATTTCATGGAAATTGAGCATCAGAGGGATATACTTATGGTTTGGCCTAATGCACTTACCTCACAGCTCAACCTCTTCCTTTGATTTCCAGACGCTACCATCACTCACAGCGCCCATGAACAGAAGATGGAATATGTCCAACCAGCACCTGACAACGTGTTGTTGACACTTCAGCCAGGACTTAATAATATGGCAGCCACTGGTATTTCATCCATGAGTACCAGGGATCTGGGTAAGTTTGTTTGTTAGTATTACTGTCCTACTTGGTTTCCATATGCATGTAAAGTGTCAAAACAGGTAGGAGGTGGTTGTGTTATACTATGTTTCCAGGCCTCAATTTCAGGGGTCTCAGATGGCAACCTGGTATATCCTCTGCTTTGTGACATAATTTCCTAGAAACTGAGCACAGATACACCTGTGGAGTTACCATAATACACTTACAGCTCTTCATTTGGTTTCCAGGTGCTAGCAAAACTTATAATGTCCTTAAGGAGAAGATGGAAAAGGGCGAACCCCAACATGGCAACATCTCATCAACTGCTCTAATAGGACTTACTAATGTGGCAGGAGCTGCTATTCCAGCCATGAGTACCGATGGTCTGTGTATGTTCACTTTTTAGTTGGATTTTCCTACTTTGTTTCCATATGCATGTATATTGTCAGGAAGGAGAGATGGAGATCTTGTTGTATTATCTTTCTTGATATCAGTTTGAGGGGTCCCAGATGCCGCTCATGTCATCTTGATTTGTGAAAAAATTTCTCAGGAGCTGAGCATCAGAGGGATATACCTGTGGGGGCGGCATAATGCACCTACTCCTATCTTGACCTCTTCATTTGTTTTCCAGATGCCACCGTCAGTCACAATGTCCATGAACAGAGGATGGAAAATGACCAACCGCAACAGGAAAACGTCTGGCCAAATATTCTCGCATGGTTTATTAATATGGCAGGAGCTGGTATTCCAGCAATGAGTACCAGGGATCTGTGTATGTTCATTTTTTACTTGTACTGTCCTCCTTGGTTTCCATATGCAGGCATAGTGCCATGAAGGGAAGAAGGTTGTTTTGTGAATTGTCTTTCTTGGCCTCAATTTGAGGAGCCGCAGATCATCATTTGATGTGTTCTTTTGCTATTTGGGATAATTTCCCAGAAACTGATCATCAGTGGGATATACCGGTGGCATTGACGTAATTCACTTACTTCAAGCTCAAAATCTTCCTTTGGTTTCCAGATGATACCATCTCTCACAATGTACATGAAGAGAAGATGGAAAATGGCCCATCCCAAACTGGTAATCTCATGTCACCTGTTCCACCACTGCTTGGTCTTATGGTAGCAGCTGCTCTTCCATGCATGAGTACCAGGGATCTGTGTATGTCTCTTAATTAGTTGTAGTGTCATCACTGGTTTCCATATGATTGCATATTTCATGAAAGGTAGAAGGTGGTTTTATAGCATATACTTTGGTGGGATCAATTGGAGGGTTCTCACAGGGCCACCTGGCATATCCTCCTCTGCTTTATTAGATAATTTCCTAGAAACTGAGCGTCAGAGAGATAGACCTATAGGGCTGATATAATGCACTTAGCTCACAGGTGAAACTCTTCATGTGGTTTGCAGGTTTTACCATTGCTCAAAATGTCTGTGAAGAAAAGATGAAAAGTGACAAAACAACACCTCATGAATTCTTGTCAACTATTACAGCAGGGCTTAGGAACTTCACAGAAGCAGGTATTCAACCCCTGAGTACCAGGGATCTCTGCATATTCATTTACTAACTACGTTGTGCTACTTGGTTTCCATAAACATGCAGTATCATGCAGGAAAAAAGGTGCTTTGGTTTTATTATCTTTTCCGACCTAAACTTGAAGGGTCTCAGATCGCCACCTGATACAGCCTCTTGTGTGATGGAACAATTGCTTAAATCTCTTTGTCAGAAAAACATACATGTGGCAGTGACATAAGCCCTTACCTCACAGCTCAACCACTTCATTCGGTTTCCAGATGCTGCAGTCACTCACAATATCCCTGAAGCGAAGGTAAATAATGGCCAACTAGCACCTCACAACGTCTCGTCTGCTGCTCCAGCAGGTCTTGGTAATATGGCGGCAGCTGGAATTTCATCCACGAGGACCAGAGGTCTGTGTATGTCTGCTTCTTAGTTGTACTGTCCTACTTGGTTTCCCTAAGGAGGCATAGTTTGATGAATGCTACAAGTTAATTTTGTTGTATGTACTTTCCTAGCCTCAATTTGAGGGGTATCAGATGTTTCACTTGGCATATTCACCCCTGGATTCTTTGATAATTTCCTAGAAAGTGAGGATCAGAGGGATATACCTCTGGGGTTGAATAATGTACTTACCTCACAGCTCAACCTCTTCATTTGGTTTTCAGGTGCTACTGTCACTCAAAATGTCCACAAAGAGAAGATGAGAAATACACAACCAACACCTAATAACGTCTTATCAACTGTTCTACCAGAACATCTTTATTTGGCAACAGCTGGTCTCCCAGCCATGAGCACCAGGGGTCAGTGTATGTTTGCTCATTAATTTATACTATCCTACTTCGTTTTCATAGGCATGCCTAGTGTCCTGAATGGGAGAAGGTGGTTTTGTTGTATTCACATTCATGAGCTGCATTTGAATGTTCTCAGATCACCATCTAGCATATCCTCTTCAGCTTTATGAAATAGTTTTCTAGAAACTGAGTATCAGGAGGATATGCCTGTAGAGTTGACATAGTACACATAACTCAAAACTGAACCTCCTGATTTCCTTTCCAGATTCTACCATCACTCACAATGTCCATGAGGAGAAGATTAAAAATGCCCAAACGGCAGCCAATAATGTCTTCTCAGGTATTCCACCAGCACGTAATAATATGGCAGCAGCTGGTGTTTCTTCCATGAGTACCAGGGATCAGTGTAAGTTTGCTCACTTGGCGTACTGTCCTACTTGATTTCTATATGCATGCTTAGTGTCATGAGGGAAGAATACAGTGTTGTTGTACTATCTTTACTGGCCTCAACTTTACGGTTCTCAGACTGCTACTTGGTATGTCTTTTTTCTTTATGAGATAATTTCCTCGATACCGAGCATCCGAGCGGTATGCCTGTGTGGTTGACATAATGCATGAAACACACAGCTCAACCACTTCATTTGATTTCCAGATGCTGCAGTCACTCATGCAATCCTTGAAGAGAAGATAAATAACGGCCAATCAGCACCTGATAACCTCTTGTCAACTGCTCCACCAGGTCTTGCTAATATGGCAGCAGCTGGACTTTCATCTACGAGGACCAGAGATCTGTGTATGTCTGCTTCTTAGTTGTACCGTCCTACTTGGTTTCCCTAAGGAGGCATTGTTTGATGAATGCTACAAGTTAATTTTCTTGGATATAGTTTCCTAGCATCAATTTGAGGGGTATCACGGCTACGTGACATATCAACCCCTGGATTTTTTATAATTTCCTAGAAAGTGAGGATCAGAGGGATATACCTCTGGGGTTGACACACTGCACTTCCGTCACAGCTCAGCCTCTGTATTTGGTTTTCAGATGCTACCATCATTCAAAATGTCTGCAAAGAGAAGATGGAAAATAACCAACCAACATCTAATACGGTCTTGTCAACTGTTCTCCAAGGACTTCCTTATTTGGCAACAGCTGGTCCCCCAGCCATGAGCGCCAGGGATCACTGTATGTTTGCTTATTCATTTGGACTATCCTACCTGGTTTTCATAGGCATGCCTAGTGTCCTGAAAGGGAGAAGGTGATTTTGTTGTATTGTCGTTCGTGAGCTGCATTTGAGTGTTCTCAGATCGCCACCTGGCATATCCTCTCTGGCTTCCTGAAATAGTTTTCTAGAAAGTGAGTATCAGGAAAATATACCTGTGGGGTTAACATAATGCACATAACTCAAACTGAACCCCTTTATTTAATTTCCAGATGGTATGATCTTTCACAATGTTTGTGAGAAGAAGATTAAAAATGCCCAAGCAGTACCCGATAAAACCTTCCCAGCTAGTTCCCCAGCACTTATTAATATGGCAGCAGCTGTTGTGTCATCCATGAGCAACAGGGATCAGTGTACCTTTGAGCAATTGGTTTACTATCCGACTAGGTTTCCATATGCGTGCATAGTGTCATGAGGGAAGAATGTAGTTTTGTTGTACTATCTTTCCTGGCCTGAATCTTAAGTTTCTCAGAGTGCTACTTGGTAGGTCCCACTTCTTTATGAGATAGTTTCCTGGATACAGAGCATCAGAGGGGTATGCTGTGGTTGACATAATGCACTTACCTCACAGCCCAGCCTTTTTGTTGGTTTCCAGATGCTGCCGTCACTCACAATGTCCGTGAAGCGAAGATAAATAACGGCCAACTAGCACCTGACAACGTCTTGTCAGCTGCTCCACCAAGTCTTGGTAATGTGGCAGCGGCTGGAATGTCATCCACGAGAACCACAGGTCTGTGTAGATCTGCTTCTTAGTTGTACTGTCCGACTTGATTTCCCTAAGGATGCATAGATCGATGTATGCTACAGGTTAATTTTGTCATATACACGTTCCTAGCGTCAATTTGAGGGGTATCAGATAGCCACATGGCATATGCAACCCTGCTGTTTTGATAATTTCCTAGAAACTGAGGATCAGACGGACATATCTCTGTGGTTGACATAATGTACTTACCTCACAGCTCAACCTCATCGTTTGGTTTTCAGATGCTACCGTCACTCAAAATGTCCGCAAAGAGAAGATGGAAAATAACCAACCAACACTTAATAACGTCTTGTCAACTGTTCTCCAAGGACTTCCTTATTTGGCAACAGCTGGTCTCCCAGCCATGAGCACCAGGGATCAGTGTATGTTTGCTTATTCATTTGGACTATCCTACTTGGTTTTCATAGGCATGCCTAGTGTCCTGAACGGGAGAAGGTGATTTTATTGTATTATCTTCAGTGAGCTGCATTTGAGTGTTCTCAGATCGCCATCTGGCATATCCTCTTCAACTTTTTGAAATCGTTTTCTAGAAACTGAGTATCAGGAGGATATACCTGTAGAGTTGACATAGTACACATAACGCAAGACTGAACCTCCTGATTTCATTTCCAGATTCTACCACCACTCACAATGTCCATGAGGAGATGATTAAAAATGCCCAAACGGCACCCAAGAATGTTTTCTCAGCTATTCCACCAGCACATATTAATATGGCAGCAGCGGGTGTTTCATCCATGAGTACCAGGGATCAGTGTAAGTTTGTTCACTTGGCGTACTGTCCTACTTGATTTCTATATGCATGCGTAGTGTCATGAGGGAAGAATACAGTGTTGTTGTACTATCTTTACTGGCCTCAAATTTACGGTTCCCAGACTGCTACTTCGTATGTCCTTCCTCTTTATGAGATAATTTCCTCGATTCTGAGCATCCGAGGGGTATGCCTGTGCGGTTGACTTAATGCACATAACGCACAGCTCAACGACTCCATTTGGTTTCCAGATGCTGCGGTCACTCACAACGTCCGTGAAGCGATGATAAATAACGGCCAACGAGCACTTTACAACATCTTTTCAACTGCTCCACCAGGTCTTGGTCATAGGGCAGCAGCTGGAATTTCATCCACGAGGACCAGAGGTGTGTGTATGTCTGCCTCTTAGTTTTCCTGTCCTACTTGGTTTCCCTAAACAGGCATAGTTTGATGAATACTACAAATTAATTTTGTTGTATATACTTTCCAAGCCTCAATTTTAGGGGCATCTTATGCAGGTCTTGGTCATAGGGCAGCAGCTGGAATTTCATCCACGAGGACCAGAGGTGTGTGTATGTATGCCTCTTAGTTTTCCTGTCCTACTTGGTTTCCCTAAACAGGCATAGTGTGATGAATACTACAAATTAATTTTGTTGTATATACTTTCCAAGCCTCAATTTTAGGGGCATCTTATGCACATTTAGCATATTCACCCCTGCTGGCTTTATGAAATAGTTTTCATATCCTCTCTGGCTTCATGAAATAGTTTTCTAGAACGTGAACACCAGGAGGATATACCTGTGGGGTTAACATAATGCACATACCTCAACACTGAACCCCTTCATTTCATTTCCATATGGTGCGATCACTCACAATGTTTGTGAGGGAAGATTAAAAATGCCCAAGCAGCACTCAATGAAACCTTCCCAGCTAGTCCCCCAGCACTTATTAATATGGCAGCAGCTGTTGTGTCATCCATGAGCACCAGGGATCAGTGTACCTTTGTGCAATTGGTTACAATCCTACTAGGTTTCCATGTGCGTGCATAGTGTCATGAGGGAAGAATGTAGTTTTTTGTACTATCTTTTCTTTTTTTAAATTTTTTATTGGATTTTAGGTTTTGGGGTACATGAGCAGAGCATGGAAGACAGTTGAGTAGGAACACACATGGCAGTGTGCTTTTCTTTCCTTCTCCCCTTCACCCACATTTGGCATTTCTCCCCAGGCTATCCCTCCCCATCTCCCCCTCCCACTGGCCCTCCCCTTTTCCTCCCAATAGACCCCAGTGTTTAGTACTCCCCTTTCTGTGTCCATGTGTTCTCATTTTTCATCACCCGCCTATGAGTGAGAATATGTGGTGTTTCATTTTCTATTCTTGTGTCAGTTTGCTGAGGATGACGTTCCCCAGATTCATCCATGTACCTACAAACGATACAAACTCATCATTTCTGTTTGCTGCATAATATTCCATGGTGTATATGTGCCACATTTTTCCAATCCAGTCTATTATCAATGGGCATTTGGGTTGATTCCAGGTCTTTGCTATTGTAAACAGTGCTGCAATGAACACTCGTGTACATGTGTCCTTATAGTAGAACGATTTATAGTCTTTTGGATATATACCCAGTAATGGGATTGCTGGGTCAAATGGAATTTCTATTTCTAAGGCCTTGAGGAATCGCCACACTGTCTTCCACAATGGTTGAACTAATTTACACTCCCACCAACAGTGTAAAAGTGTTCCTTTTTCTCCACACCCTCTCCAGCATCTGTTGTCTCCAGATTTTTTAATGATCGCCATTCTAACTGGCGTGACATGGTATCTCAATGTGGTTTTGATTTGCATCTCTCTGATGACCAGTGCCGATGAGCATTTTTTCATATGATTGTTGGCCTCATATATGTCTAGTTTCGTAAAGTCTCTGTTCATATCCTTTGCCCACTTTTGAATGGGCTTGTTTGTTTTTTTCCTGTAAATCCGTTTGAGTTCTTTGTAAATTCTGGATATCAGCCCTTTGTCAGATGGGTAAACTGCAAAAATTTTTTCCCATTCTGTTGGTTGCTGATCCACTCTAGTGACTGTTTCTTTTGCCGTGCAGAAGCTGTGGAGTTTCATTAGGTCCCATTTGTCTATTTTGTCTTTTGTTGCCCATGCTTTTGGTGTTTTGTTCATAAACTCCTTGCCTATTCCTATGTCCTGGATAGTTTTGCCTCGTGGCCTCAATCTTAAGCTTCTCAGACTGCTACTTGGTATGTCCTTCTTCTTTATGAGATAATGTCCTAGATACTGAGCATCAGAGGGATATGCCTGTGACGTTCACAGGATGCACTTACCTCACAGCCCAGCCATTTCTGTTGGTTTCCAGATGCTGCAGTCACTCACAATATCCATGAAGTAAAGATAAATAACATCCAACTAGCAACTGACAACGTGTTGTCAGCTGCTCCACCAGGTCTTGGTAATATGGCAGCAGCTGGAATTTCATCCAGGAGGACCGGAGGTCTGTGTATATCTGCTTCTTAGTTGTACTGTCCTACTTGATTTCCCTGAGGAGGCATAGTTTGATGAATGCTACAAGTTAATTTTGTTGTATATAGTTTCCTAGCATTAATTTGAGGGGTATCAGATAGCCACGTGGCATGTACTACCCTGATTTCTTTGATAGTTTTCTAGAAACTGAGGATCAGAGGGATATACCTGTGCGGTTGACATAATGCACTTTCATCACAGCTCAACCTCTTCATTTGGTTTTCAGATGCTACCATCACTCAAAATGTCCACAAAGAGAACATGGAAAACAAGCAACTAACACCTAATAACGTCTTGTCAACTGTTCTCCAAGGACCTCCTTATTTGGCAACAGCTGGTCTCCCAGCCATGAGAACCAGGGATCAGTGTATGTTTGCTTATTCATTTGGACTATCCTACTTGGTTTTCATAGGCATGCCTAGTGCTCTGAAAGGGAGAAGGTGATTTTGTTGTATTATCTTTCATGAGCTGCATTTGAGTGTTCTCAGATGGCCTTCTGGCATATCATCTCTGATTTTATGAAATAGTTTTCTAGAAACGGAGCATCAGGGGGATATACCTGTGGGGATGACATAATGCACTTAATTCAAAACTAAACCTTTTCATTTCGTTTCCAGATGCTACCGTCACTCACAGTGTCCATGAGGGAAAGATTAAAAATGCTGAAGGAGCACCTAATAAAGTCTTCCCAACTGTTTCCCCTACACATATTAATATGGCAGCAGCTCGTGTTTCATCCATGAGTACCAGGGATCAGTGTAAGTTTGTTCACTCGGTGTACTGTCCTACTTGGTTTCCACATGCATGCATAGTGTAAGCAGGGAAGAATGTAGTGTTGTTTTCCTGTCTTTCCTGGCCTCAATTTTAGGGTTCTCAGATTACTAGCTGGTATATCTTTCTTCTGTATGAGATAAATTCCTAGATACTACCCATCAGAGTGGTATACCTATGTAGTTGACATAATGCACTTACCTCACAGCAAAAGCACTTTGTTTGGTTTCCAGATGCTGCAGTTACTCACAATGTCCGTAAAGAGAAGGTAAATAATGGCCAACCAGCAACTGATAACATCTTGTCAACTGCTCCACCAGGTCTTGGTAATATGGCAGCAGCTGGAATTTCATCCACGAGGACCAGAGATCTGTGTATGTCTGCTTCTTACTTGTGCTGTCCTACTTGGTTTCCCTAAGCAGGCATAATTTCATGAATGGTAGAGGGTAACTCTGTTGTAAATGCCTTAGTAGCCTCAATTTGAGGGGTATCAGATGTCCACTTGGCATATGCACCCCTGCTTTTTCTGACGATTTCCTAGAAACTGATCATCAGAGGGATATACCAGTGCAGTTCACATAATGTATTTACTTCACAGCCCAACCTCTTCATTTGGTTTTCAGATGCTACCGTCCTTCAAAGTGTCCGTGAAGAGGAGCTGGAAAATAAGCAACCAACATCTAATAACGACTTGTTGACTGTTCTACAAACACTTACATTTTTGGCCACAGCTGGTCTCCCAGCCATGAGCACCAGGGATCAGTGTATGTTTGCTTATTCATTTGTACTATCCCACCTGGTTTTCATAGGCATGACTAGTGTCCTGAATAGGAGAAAGTGATTTTGTTCTATTATATTTCGTGAGCACATTTGAGTGTTCTCAGATGGCCATCTGGCATATTGTCTCTGGCTTTTTGAAATAGTTTCCTAGAAACTGATCATCAGGGGGATACACCTGTGGGCTGACATCATGCGCTTAAATCAAAACTTAACGTCTTCATTGTCTTTCCAGATTCTACCATCACTCACAACGTCCATGGGGAGATGATTAAAAATGCTGAAGCAGAACCCAATAATATCTTCTCAACTATTCCCCCAGCACTTATTAATATGGGAGCAACTGGTTTTTCATCCATGAGTACCAGTGATCAGTGTATGTTTCTTCACTCGATATACTGTCCTACTTGGTTTCTATATGCATGCACAGTGTCATGAGGAAAGAATCTAGTGTTGTTGCACTATTTTACCTGGCCTGAATTTTAGGGTTCTCAGATTGCTACCTGCTATATCCTTCTCCAAGTGATAATTTCCTAGATGCTGAGCATTTGAGGGCTATGTCTGTGTGGTTTACATAATGCAAGTAACTCACAGCTCAACCATTTCATTTGGTTTCCAGATGCTGCAGTCACGCACAGCGTCCGTGAAGAGAAGAGAAGTAACAGCCAACCGGTACCTGATAACGTCTTGTCAACTGCTCCACCAGGGCTTGGTAATATGGCAGCAGCTGGAATTTCATCCAGGAGGACCAGAGATCTGTGTATGTCTGCTTCTTAGTTGTGCTGTCCTACTCGCTTTCCCTAAGCAGGCATAATTTCATGGATGGTAGAGGGTAATTTTGTTGTACATACTTTCCTGGCCTCAATATTAAGGGTATCAGAGGGCAACTTGGCATATCCACCCCTGCTCTCTTTGATAATTTCCTAGAAAGTCAGCATCAGAGGGATGTACCTGTGGGGTTGAAATAATGCACTTACCTCACAGCTCAACCTCTTCATTTGATTTTCAGATGCTATAGTCAATCTCAATGTCCATGAGGAGAGGATGGAAAATGGCAAATCCGCAACCGCATAACACATAGTCAAATGTTCCTTCAGGGCTTACTAGTATGGCAGGAGCTGCTCTTCTGGCCACGAGTACCATACAACTGTGTATCTTCTCTTATTAGTTGGATTTTCCTATTTGATTTCAGTATATGCTCATAGTGTCATAAATGGGAGAAAGTGGTTTTGTTGTATTCTCTTCCTTAAGTGCAATTTGAGGGGTCTCAGAACACTGCCGTCGTGTCCTCCTGCTCCATGCAATAATTTATTAGAAGCTCTGCATCATAAGAGTATACCTGTGTGTTTAAATAAGGCATTTATTTCACAGCTTGACGTGGTCATTTTGCTTCCAGATGCTACCACGCCTCACAACATCCGTGAGGAGAGGATGGAAAATGCCCAACTGCAATTTAGTAACATCTTGTTAACTTTTCCACCAGGGTGTATTCACATGGCAGCAGCTGGTATTCTAGCCATGAGTACCAAGGATCTGTGTATGTTTGTTTATAAGTTGGAATGTCTCACTTGGTTTTCATATGTATGCATAGTGCCATCAAGGGAAGGAGGTTGTTCAGTTGTACCTTCTTTCGTGAGCTCAATTTGAGTGTTCTCAGATCGCCACCCAGCATATCCTCTCCTGCTGCATGAAATATTTTCCTAGAAACTGAGCGTCAGAGGGATATACCTGTAGGGTTACCATAATATACTTACCTTACAGCTCAACCTCTTCATTTGGTTTCCAGATGCTGCAGTCACTCACAATGTCCATGGAGAGAAGATGAACAATGGTCAAAGAGCACCTGAGAACTTCTTGTCATCCATTACACCAGGGCTTATTAATGTATCAGGAGCTGGTACTCCACCCATGAGTACCAGGGCTCAGTGTATGTTTCTTGGCTGTTTCTGCTTGGTTTCCTACTTGGTTTCCATAATCATGCAGGGTCATACATCAAACAAGGTCGTTTATTATATTATCTTTTGTGAGCTCATTTTGGGAGGTCTCAGATAGCCACCTGGTATATCCTTCTGCTTAATGAGATCATGTTCTAAAAACTGAGCATCAGAGGGATATACCTGCAGGCTTGTTGAAATGCACTGACCTCACAGCTTGACGTCTTCTCGCGGTTTCCAGTTGCTACTGTCACTCATAATGTCCGTGAAGAGAAGATGGAAAATGGCCAACAAGCACCTGATAACATTTTGTCAGCTGTTCCACCAGGGCTTATTAACATGGCAAAAGCTGGTATTCCAACCGTGAGTAGCAATGATCTGTATATGTTAGCTTATAAGTTGGATTGTCCTCCCTTGGTTTCCACATGCATGCATGGTGTCATGAAAGGGAGGAGGCAATTTTGTTGTATTATCTTTTGTGACCTGAATTTAGGGTTTTCAGAACACCGCCTGGCCTGTCCTCCTGCTTTATGCAATGATTTCCTAGAAACTGAGCATCGGGAATATACCCGTAGGGTTGACATCATGTATTTTTCTCACAACTCATCCTCTTCATTTGGTTTCCACATGCTACCATCACTCACAATGTCGGTGAAAAGAAGATAAAAAACAGCCAACTAGCACCTGATAACTTCCTGCCCACTGTTACACCAGGGCTTAATAATTTGGCAGGAGCTGGTATCATAGCCAAGACTACGAGGGATCTGTTTACTAGTTGTACTTCCTACTTGGTTTCCATATGAATGCATAGTGTCATAAAGAGAAGAAGGTGGTTTTGTTGTATTATCTTTTGTTAGCTTAGTTTGAGGGTTTTCAGATGGTCACCTGGCACATCATCTCCTGCTTTATGGCATAATTTCCTTTGAACTTAGCCTCAGTGGAATATACCTGGGGCTTCACATAATGCACGTACCTCATACCTCCTCCTCCTCACTTGATTTCCAGATGCTTCCATCACTCACAATGTCCATGAAGAGAAGATAAAAAACGGCCAACCAGCAACTCAAAACTTCTTGTCAACTCTTCCATCAGGACTTACTAATATGACAGGGGCTAGCATCCTAGCCATGAGTACCAGGGATCTGTGTATGTTTCCTTATAAGTTGTGTCCTACTTGATTTCCATATGCGGGCATAGTGTCATTACGGGAAGAAGGTGGTTTTGTTGTATTATCTTTTCTTGCCTCAATTTCAGGGTTCTCTGGTTGCCACCTGGTATATACTCATGCTTTATGGGATAATTTTCTAGAAACTGAGCATCAGTGGGGTATACCTGTGGGGTTGTCATTATGCACTTAGCCTCATAGCTCGACCTCTTCATTTTGTTTCCAGACGCCACCACAATCGTAATCTCCATGAGGAGAAGATGAAAAACCGCCCAGAAGCACCTGATAACTCCTTGTCAGTGGTTCCACCAGGGCGTAGTAATATGTCAGGAGCTTGTACTTCATCCAGGAGTACCAGGGATCTGTGTATGTTTGTGTATTGGTTGTACTGTCCTACCTGGTTTCCGTATGCATGCATAGTGTCCTGCAGGGAAGTAGGTGGTTTTGTTGTATTGCCTTTCTTGAGCTCAGTTTGAGGGGTCTCGGATAGCCACCTGGTTTATTCGCCTGCTTTATGAGGTAACTTCCTAGAAACTGAGCAGCGAGGGATATACCTGTGGGGGTGACATAATGCACTTACCTCGCAGCTCAGCTTTTACATTTGGTTTCCAAATGCTACTGTCATTAACCATATCAAGGAGGAGGAGTTGGAATATGGCCAAACCCCTCCTGATGGCTTCCTGTCAGATTCTGCTCCACTAGAGAGTATAAATATGACAGGAGAGCATATGCCACCCAAACCATTAGATTCTTTCTCTTATAACTTCATTAGTCTCAGCAAAGATGAGCTGCTTTACAAAATTAATGCAATGAGTTTGTGGTAGGAACCCAAAACAACAATGTCTCTGCAGGTGACTCACCAGTCACAGCAATGTCTTCAATGGAAACTGCCAAATACGCCACAAATATCTCCTGCTATGGCAAAGAAATTTAATGATGATGTAAAATATCAATTAATGAAAGAAGTTCGAAGGTGTGGGCGAAGTAAGTAGTGCAAGAATGTCTATCAATGAAAGCCTGAGAAGTCTCTCATTCTATGATTTAGAACACAATTACGCTGCCTCTTGAGCTCATTGTTTGGCTGAATTGGATCTGTATATAATTTAGCATGGCTTCTCCTTAATTTCACTGAAAATTTCAAATACATCTGCTTAGGTGTTTTTCTTTGTTAGTGTTCACAATAGTTTCCTTAGTAATATACTGATGTGATTTAAGCATTCAAAACACAAACGCTGTGTAACATTGTAACCCATAAAAAATGTATACTGCGGTAGTGGATGCAATGAGATTGAAGTATATTTCATTTTCATAATTTTAGAAATACTAACTTTTTAATACCTTCATATTATGAAAGAATTTTCATTTTGCTTGATGAAGTACAAGGATCTATGGAAGTCAAGAAACAACTTGTTAAATTTGCCATTAAGGAAGCAGCAAGGTGGGTGCCAAAAGGAAACTCTTCTATTGTTTTAAGCACTTGTGCCCAGTTTGGGACAGGAGCAGGAAGAAATCATGCCTTGTTCTTCCTAATCCCTGGCCCTCAGTCATAGTTCATGCTATTTCCCCAAGCATTTAGGTTGATATTTTCTTATTCTAACCCCTTTTTCCAATGCCATGGAGCCTTCCAAATTTATGATAATCTGGGAGTGGGTGTGGGCCCTCAGGTGACTCACTTGGTCTTTTTCTAGTTTGTATTTTCCATGAGCATGCATTTTCTATCTGCATGTACATTGTAAAGTCTGTTTTGTATCCACTACTACCTCTTACATATCACAGATGCCGTGGGTATCCTCTGGTTAATGGAATACCTCTTTCATTTCAGGCTTAAAAATTTTGCCTTAATTCAGCAACTCAAGAAGGTGCTAAAAGAGTAGATTCCCACTGCCATCTCAGCAAAGTTAAGCACATGAGAAAAAATAATTGTGTTAATGCAAATACCAAGGAGAAACAAGGATATGTGCTGTAAAGTGGAGTAGGTCATTGCTGAAGCTTCCTGTAATTTTGAAGTGAAGAAAATTCCCTTCCTGAAGCTAAGAAAAGATGGAGCTTTTGAAATTTAATAAATTTCTGTTAGTAAAAGCTAGACTTTTGTGGTTTGTTTGTTGGTTTATTCTTCCACTTGAGGAGGAATACGAGTTGATAAATCACCAATGTATTTAGTATTACGGTCATGGTTTCTGCATAGTTGTAGCCGGTATTATAACTGCCTTCGTTCACTACCCATTTTTCATTCCCTTTGCCCTGAGATAGTATGTCATCTGGTCATGGTGCTTGACCTGGCAGGATGACTCAAACCTTCATCACTGAACAGTCTGAAGGACCATTAGATACCTGCCTGGATTGGGTTGCTGTACTTTTCCATTAAGTGTAATCAGAAAACATGGGAGGACTAAGAAGCTCTCTAGACACAGCAGACATACTCCTTTTTAGCTTCTGGTGTACTGCAATTAATCCCCCTTTGATCGTCAGGTTCATCATCCCAAGCCAGTGGATGACCCCCTCCTTTGCCTCTAGATGGAAAGTGATGAAGAGACCAAATGGCCAGCTGGCAGTATGAATGTCTTTTCAATGGAATCACTGTTGTGTCCCTTGGTGAAAGCATTTCTTCCTTTGGAAATAAGACTTCTAGTTCAGCAGAGCCTAACGTCAGGAGAATAGGAAACGTTTTTGCTAGTGGGTCACTGGGGTATAGAGTATGAGTAGAGACACCCCCAGTTATACCCCTTGAATCTAGGACCAAGAATCCTGACTATGGGAAAGAAAGCAAACTGTGTTGGATGCAAATATACAGCAAACACTGCTTCCTAAGTGATTTCTCAGATCTGCAAGACATTGCCACCTAGCTTGCACTATAACTGAGTTCCACAAGTCCATTGCACAGTTCTGTTGATCCAGTCATCTTAAGATAATGTGGGACAGCTCGGGAGCCTGATTTGGAGTTCAAGGCCAATGTGGGTAAGACAGTACCACCTTAAAAAAAAGCTGATGGAGGATAAGGGAATATAATATTAAGACCAGTGAATTCCTATGAGGGTGGGCCCATCGCTACACTTTATTATCTGTAAGTGCCTTGTGTGGAATACCCTGGTGGTAAATAAGGCATTTTTTCTAACTGCACAAATGTTGATTTTCTCAAATTACTGTGGGTGGAAATGAAGATCCATAGTCACTATACGTGTCTATTTGAGTAAGAACACAGCCCTGTCCCTTCTATATTGAAAGTGGTCCAATGTAAGCACCTGCCATCTGGTAGCTAGCTGATCACCCTGGAGACAGGTGCCATAGAAGAGACTCAGTGTTGCTCTCTGTTTCTGGCAGATTGTACACTCAGCAATGACTATGTTACAGAATTTTGTTCCTTAGTTCAGCTGAAACTGAGTTCTTGTCACATGACCAGGAAAGATTAAGTTCACGCACACATTACAGGGTGAGGAGGGGAATGTGTCAGTTGAAAAGGAAAATTAGGAAGGAAAGAACTCTCAGCAAAGCGAGAGGGAATGCTAACAGGCCCCCACCTCCCAGATTGTTTCTGTGCCATCACACAGAATCCGAAGAGACCAGGCTCCCCATTGCCACTCCTGCACGAGACACAACTTTCCCATGGCTCTACCCTCTTCCCCCGGGTACCCGGCAGCATTAATGAGAAAGACTCAGTTGGGAAAGGGCAAGCAAACAGTGACAATTCTTTTTCTGGGTTGTGGGTTTCATTCAGGACCAGCAGTCTGGTTTTTCAACCTTCAGGCCGTTTTAGGCTTGAAAGTGGAGTTTAGCCAGGGACCCTTGGCTGTCTGATGTCTCTATCGACTGTAGCCAGGTTGGCCTTGGTGAGTGGAAGTCCATGCCTCTGAAGCATAATCTGTATCCCTGTCACCTTGGCCACTTTGTGAGCTCATGAGGCTGTGACACAAGTGTTGGGGAGAGAGGCTGATTAATATCTAGATAATGGGTACCTTATCCTTCAGATTATTAAACTTCTGCTCTGCTGAGGTTACCCTTTGGTGAGAACTCTCATGAGACTCAAATTATCTTCACATTGAATGTCCACTCGGACAGGTCTGTCCACATATTTTTCCCCAGACCTCCTTGTCACAGATTTTCAATCATGTGTCCTCAAAGTCCCTAATCATTCGGCCAATAAATGAGACACAGCCTGTACAAGGATACACACTTAAAAGTCTGGCCATCTCTCCTCCACACAGGAGCACTGCTCAAAGTTCTTTCCTCTGGGAGGATTTCCCTTCTCCACTGTCCTTCAGGGCTATCCCAGTTGGTCCTGTCGTAATGCTGCTGCCCACTTCTGGCTTGCGTGGTTGGCAGGCATTATGAACGGACTGAATATGTGTGACCTCTGAGAATTCATACGATGAAACCCTAAATCCCAATGGGATGATATTTGGAGGTAGACTGTTTGGGAGGTCATTAGGTTTAGATGTGGTCATGATGGTTGGGTCCCTATGATGAGATTAACGCCCTTCTAATTAGAGAAAAGAGAATTTGTTCTTCCATGCCTCTTCAAAATGTAAGGATATAGCAAAGTGGCTGACTACAAGCCAGGAAGAGGACCCCCACCAGAATTTGAGCACGCTGGCATCCTGATCTTGGACTTCTAACCTCCAGAACGATGAGAAAGAAATGCCTGGTGATGAAGCCACCCAGTCTGTGGTATTCTGTGATAGCAGCTGGAGCTGACTGAGACAGCTGTAGTCTGATTCCCCAGATTCCCATCTCCCGGATACTCAATCAAGCACTAATCCTAATACTGCTATGGTGGGATTTTGCCGGAGAATTAAGGTGTCAAGTCAGTTAACCTTGAGACATGAGTGTGGTGTGGCTGGGCCAGACCTGGCAGCGGAATCCTTGAAAAGTAGAGCATTTTCATCACACAGGAGCAGAAGAAGAGCTAAGAGAGTCAAAGCACAAGAAGGATGTGACACAGCAGGCCCTCTTTGAGGATAAAGCAGTGCGCCCGAGAAGGTATAGGGTGGTTCTAAGCGTTTAAAGCAGTCCCTGGATGACAGCCAACCAAAACATGGGAACCACACTCCTACCACCTTAAGGAACTAGATCTAAATGAGCAATAACCTGAATAAGCTCGGAAGTGGATTATTCCACAGTCTCCACATTAGCACCCAGCCGGCCCATTTAGAGTTGGCCTTGGGAGAGACTCAGCAGAGAGGCCGGTTGAGCCTTCCTGGTCTTGACTTGCAGATCTGTGGATAATACACGTGTGTTATTTTAGGCCTCTTAATGTTCTTCTAAAGCTGTTTCCTGCTGAGTGGGGCATTCTCCCTGCCTAGCCTGGGCCCTAACGTCTCTTCCTGCCTGATCCTACGGGGTGGGAACCACATGTTTCACTGGACTGGTGGGGAAGACATGAGATAGCTCATTAGCAACCCAAGGTTGAAAGCCTTGCAAAACCATCATATGGACCTGGAGAAGCTGTAAGCAAGAGAGTAAGAAATCAGCGTTTTAAACTACACTGGGACCTAAAAGTCAAGCTAAAAGTATGTTAACGACTGGCAGTGTTAAAGGGAGCAGAGCAGGACAATAGCTAATGCTTCCAGTTCCCATGGAAGTTCCTAAAGTGTTCATTTCGTTTGCCTGGCTGATGACATTTCTGATACTTTCTTGGGCTAAACCAGACTGATGTAAAAAGAGCATTCATCTTTCACATGCAAACGTGTGTCTTTGACCAGCTGTGAGAAGACTGAAGGCTTTTCGGTTTTGTCGGACTATAATGGCTAGGGAGTCCAGCTGCTGTTGAAGTGGAGGGAGGCCCTCTGCCGTTCGTGGAGGGCCCCGTCATCTCCTCAAACGGTTATGCTAGGATGTTGAGGCTCTACCTCCCGTGAGCTGACCATGATAATCCCATAGAGAGGGCATAGTAAACTTAAGGGAATACAGGGTCTTGCTGGGAGCTGAATCTTGCTATGCTGGGTACAGTTGGGAAAGGGAGAGACGTGTTAGCCCATGTGAAAGTTAGATAAGGGAAACGTAAGTGATAGAGCTCGCCCCTTCCACAGTGGGTATTGTAGATATGCTGAAGATCCTCAACCCCCAAAATTTGTTTGATGCTGAAATTTCTGCTGCAAAAGGATTTGCATTAAAGTGGTGAAAGCAGTGGAGGGCAGATAAAGGGGTCTCCCGTTTTCTGGCGTATAATTGAAAGTTTCTGTGCCGCTAAGTCGGCAGTGGTTTACTGGACCCGTTAATGAATGGTAGAGTTCGGTGGCGGCATTAGTAAGATCTTTCAATGGACTTCCCCTTTTAGGGTTGGACCACAGGCAGAGTTATCTTTAGACAGGCTATGTTGACAGTCCCTGGGGGATACGTTGAGATGCGGCGAACAAGGGCTTTTCGATGCAAGGATGGCCTCAGCAAAACCTAGAGGTTGTAGCTTTGTTGACAGAATAGAGGTGGTGCCAGTCCAGGGACATCATAGAGCAAAAAAATTGGTTTCCTGGGCTGAGGTGTCCACTTATTAGTTTAGTTCCTTCTGCAGATGCATTGACTCAGATAGGTGACCCGGTGACAAAGTTTCAGCTACACTGTCTGTCCTGGAGTTCTACGAAAGTGGCAGCACTGGCATGATTACTGTAAAGGCAGAAGGGGAACTGCTCTGGATAAAAGGTATGTAGGAAAGCACTTTTTCCTTTTGGGACATTTGAA